ACACACACACACACACACACACACACACACACACACACTAAAAAAAAAAAAAAAGAAAGACGTAGATATACTCATACAGTGACATTCGTCTCGAATAAATATATGAATATTAAAAATAATTGTCACAATCAACCTCACTCTTACAAATTCATTGTTACTTTCGCTTCTCTTTTCTTTCTGAATTGACTTTGTATGTATGCTTATATATATATATATGTATATATATATTTCTTTTTTTATATAAATTGAAACACATTTGATATCTATATAAAATATATATCAATGTTCCAACGTATTTTCTCCATTCTTCTTATTCTTTCGAATAAGTTCATCTCGAAACTGTATTCTTGTGTTAAGTACAGCTTAAATTTTACCGTTTGAAGAAAGAGTCGTGCAGCATTTTAAAAAGATGTCTGCGTCTGAAGTCTTCTTTATATATATAAAAATATGTTTCTCAATCGCGTGCCATGGGAGTCAAAGTTTATGTACTGGTGTTAACATTCTCTAGATATGGACAATTTGCCTATTTTGCTCTCGTGGCATTCATTCCGCGACAATAATAAGCGCCTAAAGATGAGAGTAAAGAAGTGGAATGGGAAAAAACAAGGGAGTTGCCCCTCGTTTCCTTTTGTGCATGAGTGGAAATTCCCTATACTGCTTCACATTTCTAGGCGGTACCGTGGAATGCAACCCAGTGATACCTCATCTTCAGCCGTCCTCACTTTTAAGCATACTCCAGTAGACCAGGACTTTGGCGAGAGTAGCGATCATGGAAGAAACCCTTACCCTTTCCAGTCGCCGGAATCGGAACGTCGTGGTTGCTCTCCATGTTGCTGCGGTTGCCATGCTTGGGCCTCTGCATGGGCTCCGCGGGGCCATCGAGCGTGGGGTCGTAGTAGCGGAGCAGATTTGGGCTGCCGTTGTTCGCGGCACGGCGGCCGCTCGTCGGCCCGTGCCCTCCACCGACGCCGTTGGCCCCGTTTTCCTCTTTCGTCAGGAAGACGCCGCCGAAGAGGTTGTTCGACTCCGATGGGTGCGCCACACCGCGCGCCTTGCAGGAGTGCTTCACCTCCATCGGCTTGCCGGAGAGGCCGGTTCCGAGCACGTCGTGCTCCTCCTTTGCCACGACCTTCATCGGGCGGATGTGCGGCCGGCGGCGGGGGGGCATTTCCGGCGGCTCAAAGTGCCGCGGCCCGCGCTGGATGACCGGCGGCCTCACCTCCTGAAGCGCATCCGGGTTGTACTTACCAAGGTTTAAAACATCGACGGACTTGTTCGACTTGCTCGACCGGTACGACCCTTTCATTTGCTCAGGAACAAACATGTTGCCGTTGTCATCGGTACCGGTCAAAAAGTTCTTCATGGATACGCTGTTCTTATATTGGCGCTTGCCCAACTTGTCCTGTTTTGGCACCGGCCTCACATCGTTATAGAGGGAGAAGGGGACCTCCGTCTTCCTTGCAGCGGGGTTGATGTGAATTTGGGTACGGAACGGCGCCGGCTCCTCGGTAACATCGCAGACATTTGTGAGATGGGTGAGGTAGGACTTGGAGCTTAACTGCTTACATCGGGCCTTATCTTCCACTACGATGGCGCTGCTCTCGCCCATAATAAAGGCGTCCGAGAGCATTTTACTCACGGTATCTTTGTTGGTGCCGCGGAAGCGGCGCGGACCGTGGGTGATGCGACCGGGCTGCCCAGGGCCCGCCAAGAACTCGGAGGGATTGGTGAACTTCTTCTTCTTAATGCTTTTGCCATGCTGTTGGGTAGGCTTTTCTTCTCCCTCAGATCGCTCACCACGCATCAGCTTGGCGACCGACACGCCGCTACGGGATTGGCGGCCAAGGCAGCGCGCGGAAATGGTTTCAGGAGCAAATTTGTCTTCCACCATTTTTGTTTGAAGAATTTGTAGATATTCTTACGAGAAAATATTTTATATAATTGAAAGTAAGCGATAGCAAGTAAAATCAGATAAAAAAACTAACTCTGAAAAAACTCTAAGATGGAAGCTCAAGCGATCGATACAAGTAAGTAAAGGAAAAAATAGCATTTTCTTTTCAGTCAACATTCTCAGTGAAGTCCATTTTCATATGCCAAGGCACATCGTACCTAAAAAAAAACGTTTTCCATTGACAAAAAACTACCCAATAGCATATACTCAGCAGCGCCTATATCAGGGGGTGGTCATTCTTCCTGTTAAAGTTCAGTTTCTCGATACGTTAAAAGTGGTTTGTCCTCAAGACGATGCCTAGCATGGCTAGTCAAATTTCGCCAGATCAGAGATCATATTGTTCATCATCACTTTAAGGATAAAAATGCCGCTTGATAATGTTGACTGAGTTGCTATTCTTATGGTAGATTTTCAGCTATCTCCCATTTTATATCACACAAACTTTAACCATCACAGACACCCACACAACCATGCAAACAGCACTTCGATTCTTGCAGACTTTTACAGAGGAATCTAGTACCTGTAAAAACTATAATATCCTCAGACGTAATCTGCTCATTGTACCATTAGATTGCATTTAGAGAAGCATTTTGCTACTAGAAAAAAAATAAGGGGGAGAGGGGGGAGGGGGGGGGGGGGGACGGGGTAGTTATGGGGGAAAAATTAATCGATCTTCGGAAACGATGAGGACCAAATGCGTCGACAGATGGGATAACCCCGAGCAGATCCAGAGAGTATCCGTTTTAAAGCAATACACCTGCAAAAAGAAATAGAGATGTAGAAGAAGCAGAATTAGATGTTTAGTTATACATCATATGCTGAAACCAAAGCATTTAATGACAACGTAAGGGGCGATTCCAGAAATTTGCCGATATCTTTGAGATGCACACGATTCAATGTCATCAATCTGGAGGGAAATATTCTTAAAAAATTGTAAATACAAATAGATATACTTAATTCAACTTCCAAGTATTGTCTCTCTACCATTCAATCAGAGATGTAACATCGAAATATGTTGTAATATACATGTAAGTAAAGTGATACATGGCTAAAATCTAACGCACGCAGATGAATGGCTCCACTGAAGCGACATAAAAAATATCTCCAATTTTGAAGTATGGTTCTGTTAAACATTCGAATTGGCCACCGCACATATATTTGGGAATAATAAAAAATACCAGCAAACAATAGGGAAGGGAGCCTAAATCCTACAGGTACGCGAACGCAAGCATCATCATTGAGAACTCAACGTAGCTCAGTGCAGGGGGTTTTTCTTTTGGTGCACCACAAACCTCGCATGGCGAGATAGAACATTTCTTTGTGTATTTCTTTAGGCAAAACCCCATCACGAACCGCTCCACACGCTTTTCATCTGATGGAATACCGCAATGGTCCAAGACCAACAAGGGGTGCTTCTCAAAAAAGAACTTTTTAACATTTTCTCCCTTTTCATCCAATTTATCCACGAGAAGTTGCACAATCTCCTTCACTGGGATGGAATCGGCACGTGGCTTGCAAAGCTTTTTGAAGATGGGGTAAAGCGTTGCGTCACTAATCCGGAGTCCGTCTCGCTCAGCCTTCTCCAGAATCTGAGATGACGTCGTAGGCTTAAGAAACAAATTTCTCGGTAATAGGGCAACCGCAGCAGGGTTGTACGGGGCGAGCGCAGCGGAGGCGTTTTGTGCGACCACCAGAGCCTCGTCAGGTGAGGCCTGCTGCTGATTCCGGTTCAGAGTCTTGTTTTCCGTTTCCTGCACCTTCAGCTCACGATGATACTCCGCATACAAGTCCAACTCACGACGCGCTTTGCTTTCCTGAATCGTGCGGAGAATGTCGCGACAGACCTCAACCATTTGGAAACGGGGCTCTTTGAAGACGGCCAGAGTTACCTGCCAGATCACACCACTGTGTTGGAGATAATCCTCAATCGTCTCCAGGACAATTTTACACACGTGGAACTTCGCCTCGTTACTACAATGCTCCGTGCTGGACTCATCGGTATCCCATAAAATGCCTGCACACTGGCCAAGGACCTGCAAAGAATCCAGCTCCAGCAGCAGCGCGTGAACATTGTGGAGCTCGGCGGTTATGAGTCCTTTTAGAATCCAAAGTCGAAGACATTCGGCCGCGGGGGTGCGATACACACGTTGCAAATTCACATAGGTGCTTTCGTGCGGTTTGAAGGCGCATATTTCGCCATCTTGGAGGGTGTTTTCTGCAGATCGGGACGGACGAAGAATCATACGCACACAGTTCGTATGATTCTCGCGCAGTTCCACGTGGTTTTCAGATACTTTTTGGATGTCATAGTATGACAAATTAAAGGCACCAGCGCGCCATTTCTGGATAATACCAGGCTCTCTCGAAACGATCTGAATGCGCCCCTGTAGACGCGGCGCGTTACTGATATAATTCAAACGAATTCTCCTGTCCAGTTGCGGAAGGTGTTCGTCGTTTGTTCGTGCGATGTCTGTCTTTTGTGTCAGCACGCCGCCACCCACCAAGTCCTGAAGGGAGAAAAGAGTTACTAGATCGACACCGATGCTTTCTTCTGTATCCCAATCGGGGATAATTCCCTCATTTAATTTTACCCACGCATCCAAGAGTTGCACGAGCGTTTTATGCTCCGCTGAGAAGGATGCTGCGTGTTGTGCAGTGGGTTTAACGTCAGATGAATCGATTACATGGCTGCGGCGAGCATCTTTCACTATATCATAGTAATGATACGATACAAACACCCCGTGAAGACGGAATAAAGGGAACATATCACACTTGGAGGCCAACATTGCCTCCAGGTAGGCCTCGTTGCGAAACACAAGCCGGAAGAGAAGTTTGGGCTTTGGGTAACTATCCTTATTTCGCTCCACCTCAGCCTCACTTGGTAGCTGAATTACGACGAGGTTGTACTCCCGCATTAGGGAGTGCTCAAAGGATGGGTTGGTAATGTCTTGGCTGCTCAACAGGAGGACTGCATTGCGCTCTCGCTTAATTTTTTCGCCGGAATCTGCACAGTCGCGCGGTGCTTCCAGCAACACCAGACGCTGTTCGACATCTAGCACCACCCCGTACCGCAGCACATTGAATTGGTGCTTGTTCAAGACGCACTGGCAGATCGGTTCCTGTCGGTAGCTGGCAAACACCGGATGCTCCCAAAGCGCCTGACACTCCCTCAGAATGAGATCAAAGCTCGTGTCGAGGGCTTCAAGAAACCGCCACATATCGGCAAAGCGACCACACTTCGTACCGATGGGGGGCAACTTCTCCACTGGTGTGCCCCACATAAAAAGATTAAGCGGGCGAACATGCGTTTCCACGGCCTCCATATCTGTGATGAGGGCGTCAAAGATCTATTTGATGTTTGTGTGTTACAAAAATCAGAGAAAAGAAGACGGGAGTGATGTGCAGTGGAAAAGGGATGAGTGACATAGAAGAGCATGATGAAATTGTTCATGGAGTTGCACATAGAAAAGCGCAAAATAATTCTGCATCAGCCTCTCCTTGAATATTGCTTTTTCTCGCTCTAACGGAGAGTTGTATAAATATGGAAACTGTGAAAGTGGGGAGGGTATAGAATACGTGTTCCTCTCCCCTTAGGCAGGAGTGGAAGTAAAAATACTATAAGCAGCCTTATAAAATTCATCCACATTCCTATCAATAAGGGCCCTATACTCCATGTCTTTTCGCTTTATCATGAGGACAATAGTCAAGGAACTAGGCAACTCCCTAACGTAAATAATATCGTCATTATTAAGCTGAATGACGGCCCGGGCGCCCCGTTCGAGCAACGCAATGCGCTCCTCTTCATCCTCGTCCGAGTGCACCGTTTTTGCGAAGCTGCAATTCGTGCTTGGCATTTCCTTCGCTACACGGACTGCGTTGTCATCTAATTCGTGCAAGTGCGGAATCTCACCGTGGGCCAAACGGCGCGGGGCTGGACTGTTTGAGTCGTGCTTTGAATTGTGTGAGGCGCTGCGCGGGGAGGCGTAGATCTGGCTCATCCTGACCACAACTTCTATGGCATCACTGCATAAGTCATAAGTCCGTGCCTTTAAGCGAGTTCGCTCATCAACGGCGATGTAAATTTTTGAGCGACTAAGAAACAAATAGCTCAGACAAACATTACTATTGCTATTAAGCATTTGGAGGAGCTCATTGATGAAGGGAAGCTTAACCTTGATCAGCCGCTGCACGACCAGAGAGAAGGCCTGAAAGACGGAGTGGTCGTAGATGGAGGTGAGGTTAAAGTTGAGCTTCGGTGGGGTTGTGTTTTCCAACTGCTGCTTGACCTCTTCCTCGACACGGCGCTGCAAGCTAGCTAGCAGGTCAACCTGATGGTCCTCACTCAGGGCGTCAACCTTGTGAATAAATACCTCCACACAAAGATCCGGGTTGTAGCGGTAGGCAGCACAAATCGTATCAAGCAATCGAACACGTGCGTCGTCGACGAGTTCACGACAGTCTAACACAAACACAATCACCCCGCAGTTTTCCAACAGCTGGTTGACGTCATAGCGGTTGGCACTGTTCTTTTCATCAAAAGGGTCATTCTGTCCAGGGAAATCCCAGACATCAAAGGTCACGAAATCGTTCGAGTGCACAGTTCGTTTGGTGGGTTGCACAGTTGTGGGGAGGTTAACTGATTCGTGCGGTTGCATGCCCTCAAAGACAACTTTCTGGATGCTGCTCTTTCCAGACTTGCGTAGCCCCATTAAAAGAACCTTGGGCAAAGCGAGCATTTTGAGGAGCTTTCTAGTTTTCCCTCCCCTACTTATTTTTCTTATTACTCCTTTTCTCCCTGTGTGAGATCCTTTCTGGTGTCTCAGACTCCACTTTTTTATGGTTTCTGTTGATGTTAGGAAAGCTTTAGTTGTCGTACATGTGCATGCGTGTAGGAAACGGAAGAAAAGGAAAAGGAAGAGAAAGAGAAAGACAAATCACGAAGGGAACCTGAATTTCGAATCGGAAAAATCAACCCGAAATGAACTCACTTCTCTTTTACCCACATCTACTTTTAAAAGGGGGCAAGAGAGGAACATCTGACGCAATATCATATCCATTCGTATCTCTTAACTGCACGGCAGTATCATTAACATCATAGGAAGGAAAGTAAGAACCACACAATCCCTCCTCATAGTCTCGCAATAGTTGTGTTTAGGCGGTCACAAATGCAATCCAACATATTCAACAAATGCGGCGAGCCCATTCGCTTCATCTCATGCACGATGTTCCCCAGCACATGAAGCAACTTCTCGGTGCACACCCGCAGCTCCCTCTTGTGGGGCGTCGCGGCGGCACCGGTAAGCCCCACGCGCGCCTCCCCTTCACCCAGCTCCTCCACCGCCAAAGTGTAAAGGGCAAGCGCCAGCTGGATGTTATCCAAATGGACACTCCGCTGCTCCGTCTGCATCCCTGCGAAGATGTCGGACGCGGCAAAGTCCTCTTCCCCACAGCTCTCCACGTCATGCCCACGGCTGGGCGACCGCGTCACGCTTGACTCAACCGAGGGCGTCGTATCGAGCGCACGACCTTTCAGAGCGGACTTCGCGCGACGGATGATGTGAAACTCATGGGAGATAAAGCGCCACAAAACGTCCAAGGTAAGGGAGGGCTTTTCCGTGTGTGCACTGCCGTCCATCACATTCCCCGACGCTACGGTAAACGTGCTTGAATTTCTGCCGCTTTGAGATGGAAGGGCAGCCACGACCGCACACACTTCTCCCTTTTCATTGATAATTGAAGGGACACCGTGGAAAGGTTGTATGATGAAAAACGTCAATTGGCTTTGCACGGCACGCACCAAGAGATTTCGGATCATGTTTTTTTCCGACTGAACAATAACCGGGTCGCTGCTACTGGTGGTGTCAAAACCGTGAAGCCGATAACGATGGATCCGCATAAAGCATCGCTGAATCACGGGAATCAGCGACGACATTGGGCGGATCAAGACCGACAACTGCGCTACCAGCCTCACACACAACTCTAATTCCTCTACATCCCAGACAAACGATGGCGCAGGTGCATGGTCTGGCCCCACTACCTCGGTAAACCCACCTAGAGCGACTAAGAAACGGGGAAAATATAGCAACCTCGCCTCGATGGCTTCTAGCAACGGGCGCTGCGCCACGGAATGAATTGGTGGTGTATCATCACCAGATTCCTGTATTCCAGAAAGCGTAGAGATGGTGCTCGTAAGAAGCTCCAGCAGGCTACACCACACTACGTGCCAGCTCTGACGGCAGTACGAGAGAGCAGAATCTGTGATAAAAGTGGTGGGGAATACGTTTAAGGTGTCCATCATTGCCATTATTTCTTCGAGCGGAAGCAGGGAAAGTGCCCCCATAGCTCGTGCTTTGAGCAGCGCTCCCTGCATGCAGCGCAACGCCAGGACAAAGTACGATGTGTGAATGTCTCCGGGAGAATTTGCCGCAATCGAAAAAGAAATCGCAGTTGCCCTGCGGAAGAGACAGCGTATTAATGGCGCCAATACGAGAAGAGGGCACGAATTTGGTGGAAGGCAATCAAATATTTTAATAAAACCATCCAAGAAAACCAAGTGCTCTGGACCAATTTTCACTTCCTTTTGTCTTTCCTCTGCAAACAGTACATCAGCTAGGATGGAAAATATTATTTCTTCAAAGTCTACCCCGATATTGTCTTCCCTCCCTAGAGTTGCGATGACGTTCAGACAAGGATTGAGGAGAGCGAGGCGTGTTGTATTCTCTCTCATGAACTCCAGGAGGTGATACACCACGCGCCGAGTTGGTGCATCCACTTCCAACCTCTGACCGCTGCTTAACGAAAAGGATTCCAAGACACGCGATGTGGCATTGGTCAGCTGCAGACACTGCGACGTGCACTCCCACAGCGGCCGCGCCAACAGGGGAGCAGTGGGCTTACACTGAGTAACCCATTCAATAGCACCCCGTAGCATTTGAAAGTAACGCTCCAAAAGGATGCGGCTCGACTCCGTTTCATTTACACTTAACCAAAGGGTACTTTCCAAGGCCACCGCCATGCGTCTCACGGCTTCCAATATTGAAGCCATAAGATTGAACGTGGTATCGTCGCCAGAGCCAATAAAGCAGTACGCCTCGCCGAGCACAAGTGGACACACCACCCGATAGGCGGCCTCCTCCACTTCGATAGAGTTTGGTAACACTTCCGTGTGGAAGAGCTTTTGTCGTGATGAAGAGCAGCCCATCGTCGAAGAGGCAGCACCAGAGCGGGAAGCTTCAACCCAGGAATAAGTTGGGTGGTGGTTCCACAACTGTTTTCGGTGAAGCCGGAGCTGCGAGATTGCCAGCTGGAGGTCCATCGCCCTGAGACCGTTTGCTGTGGTCAAAGACAACGTCGTTGAAGGGAGTATTGCACTTGACATCGACGTGGACAACGCCGCCTGCCATTCCTTTAGGGGAACCCCCGTGGCGTGATGGACTTGCCGACAGAGCTCATCATAACAGCGAGCCACCCGCTCGAGTAGCGCAGAACCGCGCCGCAATACAAAGTCGATAGTATCGGCGTGCACAGCTTGGCCACTCCTTAAAGGTATTGTGTTAACGTATTTGCCATTGATATTGGGAGAGCTAGAGTTACCAGGGCTATCGGCTGGAGGAGCCAGGATGAGACGAGAGGACCCAATCCCGCGTCCTGCTTGGTGGCTCTTTGAACACTTGCACATCTGTATAGATATAACAGTGTTGATGAAGCGGGTGGCTGTGGCGGTGATGGCAACCTGCTCAATGACGCTACCGGTGTCTTTAATGTGGGGAATGTCTTCGGAAAGAAAGGAAGTTACACAATCCAGAGGTAAGGATTCTGTGAGGCCTAAAATGACCAGCAGCTCAAGTGCCGATGATTTTTCGGCAAGTGACGCCCCTTCTTGGAGGACGACATCGCACAGAACCTTCGAGATGGCCAAGTCCTCGAGCTCCACGGCTTGCCGGTTACCAGGGATGCTATCCGGGCCCGTCAAGTATTCCAAAGTGGCCAGGTCGCGCGCCCCCAGCACGGTGAGGACCTCCAGTCGGATCACATTCCCCGGGGTCCCGGCTTGGGTTCTGAGGGTTTGATGAAGAAGGGCCGAGAGGGCTCGCCAAGAGTGCGACAGCAGGTTCGAGCTCAGCACAGGGAACAGGGCGTGGCCTCGCTGCAGCGCGGCCCCTAAAAGCTGCGCCGCGGACAGGCAAGGCGGAAACGTTGGTGCCGCGATACAGCTCAAGAGCACATAGCTGACGGGCACCTCGTTCCCATCATTGCAGCCCTCCATGCTCGGTAAAAGGATGGTCGCAACGGGAGAAAACTGCTCACAAACTCGCATGATTTCCAAGACAATTGTCAGCAAAAGTTCGATGAGTCTAAAGGTCGAGTGACCACAAAGAGAGAGGCATCCATTCTGGTACACTCGGATAAGCCCTGCCGCGCCCTCGAAAAGCCGCTCAACCAAAATTTTTGCCTTCTCCTGTGTCGTCTCCTCTAGCATAATTGGGATACGAAACCCAATCGTTTCGGCTGTCTCCTCCAGTCGGACCATAAGACAAGCGAAGAACTGCATCGCCTCGGGGCTACCGGACAGCACCCCCCTGTCGAGGTCTGTAAGAAAGAGGAGAAGGCGATTAGGGGAGATCATTCTCTCCTCTGCTCTCTGACAGAGATTCACATAAGCCGTGAGGTGCAACAGAGCTGAATTTACGGCGGCTGTGAACCCTTTGCTAAAAGCAGCGGCAATATTTTCGGTCAGAAGCTTAGCGGTCACGCTCGACAGACTCATCACAGCGTTAAAATAAACCTTTAGTAGACTGAAAATCATGCGCAAAACGGCGACATCCCGTCGCTCGATGAAGAGATCATTGGGCTTTAGGTGATGAAAAAGAAGTTGGACAAACAGATCGGATAGGTTACGGTTAGCAATGGAGTCGGCCAGGCTTTTTTCTTGAGGAAATAGTGATAGTATGGAGTAAAGCAACGAAACTGCCGCGTCGTAAAAATTCCCATGCATGTGTCGCAGAGGGGAGACAGGTAGTAGCTCAGATGTGATTTCAAGGAGCAAAAATTCCACGCACTGTGAGAGTAAATTCAACTCATCTCCCCTCCAAAGAGGCACGGCAGGGAACGGTAACTTCAAAGTCACTTGATTCGATGCACTAACATGAGGCGGATGCGGCGTTATATTTAGGAAAAAGATCCCGTCAGCATCACTGAGGCGATCGCAGTGAAAAAGAAAGGTCGCTGAGATGTAGGAATAAAGTGTGAGAAAGAAAACGCAGCGAGCCTCCGCGTTGTCGAAGTTCAACTGCGTCGCTGCAGCGGCCTGGTCGCCACACTCCAGCCCCATCACCCCGATCTCCTCTTTGGCGGGGGAAAAAGAGGAAAGCTGTGATATGTAGGGAGACCTAGATCGATCTATTTCTCCACATGTGCCTTCTTCACACAGAAGGGACAGCGCCTTTGCCTTTTGTTCAACTGCATCAGGACCACCTGAAGGTAGGCACGCGCAGGATCTCAAATGAGAGCGGACAAACTCAAGAAACGCAAAGACTCCATGCGGTATCTTTGACCACGTGAATGAGTAGATAAAACAACTCCTCGCAGTGCTTACCAGCGCTGATGTACTGCAGCAAGTCCACCAAAAGGCGGATACATGCGTCAAAAAATTGTGAAGCGCGGCACCGAGAATATACTTGATGAGAAAAGTGTGTTGCCTCGCGTACGGACCCTCCCTCAAAAATATATCGTCCACATCAAGGTCGTACATGGTGCACTGACGGAGTACTTCCAGTGCCTGCTGAAGCCACTCCTCCACGGCAGGCTCGGCATTCCTCAGAGAGTAGCAAGGCAAGGCAGCCAAGAGAATAAAATTCATCATATTAGCCCGGCCCGCAGGCTCCGAAAGCGAACCTTCGAGCAGGTGCTGGAGCATAGATAAGCGGATGCGTGATATATGCTTCACAATGATGCATATCAAAACGAGTGATGAACGCTGAAGTGGAGGCGTTGAACGGCCGGTACTACTCAGCCGCATTACAATCTTTACCATTCGATCGAGCAATTCACCGGTTATCAGAGATTCACTTTCGGCCTCATTTAGGTGAAATGAGAAGTAAAACAGGATGTCGACGTACAGCGCCAAGAGCTGTTGAAGCAGCTCTGCCACAGCAAGTCTCGAGACAATCTGCAGCCCTTTCTGAACTGTCTCGATGCGCGCTACGAGGATGTCAATGAGGTTATCCCCCTTCAGTCTCTGCATGATTTTGCGATAGAGAGGTGGAGGTCCACCCAACATAAACGCTCCAGGCGGGCGTTCAAGAATCGCCAACAAAACACTCAATTCACGGACATGTCTACGATAGCACTGCTCCTCATGGACCGAAAGGTTAGTCAGCACGAACCCAGGGTGTCTCTTATCCCATTCTCTATCCTCAGTGTGCGACCCTTCTACCTCAACGTTCTTTTTTAAAAATCCACTCATGAAATCACCCTTTACAAACAGGTCTAGATCCTCCTCCATAGCAAGTTCAGGCGCCAAAGAACTTTTCCTCATCATCGCCTCAACCAAGTGATCGTCTTTAGAAGAAGAATCTCCACCCACCTCATCGGGTGTATTCTCATCTATGGCGAACAAGCCTATAATGGCATGAAACAGCGGGGACGAAATGTCAGCGTCATCAAGCAGAACAGCAACGCTTTCTAAAAAACTCCGTCGTTGATCTGAGTCTACACTTGACTGAATTGGCATTTCCTCCACCTTGCACAAAAATGTCTTTTAGGATTACCCGCTGTGTCTATGTTAATTTTACAGAAAACGCGAACCCAGGGAAGGAGGGAAAAAATAAAATTTGAATATTTAAAAAGCTTTCCCTTTATTTAGCTTTTTATTCCCTTCAGATAAAACTAAGACCCAAAAGGGATGGTTGCTAATGAAGTCCTACTGAGAGTTACATAGTGGAGGAATAGAAACTCATTTTGGGGGCATCAAAATACGGTATCGCCGATATAGATATATGAAAAGATATATATATATATGTACATTTTAGGACAAAGCCCAATGCATTTTCCCCCATGCTTGTTAGCGTGCATATACCAGACTAAATTAATGCTTTATCCATCTTCATTCGGAAGAAGAGCGCCTGTATAGTGGATGGAGGAGACGTTGAATTCTTAGGGGGAAAAAGACGATAACTATAGGATTCTTTCGTACCTCTCTCTCTATATATATTTTCCACTCTCATGTGAAAGTAAAAAAAAAATGAACAGTTTATTTACATACCGGTCATATCGCTGGCTTCTGTTGGCTGCGCAAGGCATGCAAATGAAATTATCCTTATTGTCTCACAATACACAGGTATCAATAGCAAATATAAATCTTAATTGGAATAAATCGATCAACATACAGGACAAAGCTAGCCACACACACCATCACCCTGTTTATCACACTATCTTAAATATGTATTCCATTTTTCTGTTACTTCTGCTACTTTTTAAAATTTCCACATTAATCTATTAGTATTTCTGATCTAACTAATCCTGTCTTTTTGGTGTGATGAATAGGATGTTGATGTTTAAAAATGACGCAATTTGCCGGAAAACGCTCACGATCATGTGCATATATTGAAATACACCAAAGAATGTGAGGAACATCATAGATATTCCGAGTAAGCGTTTTACATTAGAGTGTTTAGACAAAGACAATGGGTAAAAGTGCGTCACAACCGAAGTTCCTGTGATAACAAAGGTTAGAATAAAAAGTAGGTTCAAGTAAGAGTACGGCATCCCACAAAGTCTTGACAACGTTAAGCGAGTTGACATGAATGAGATAAGAAATGCAAAGCTTAGCTCAAAGGCTAGTGGAAACGCATCGTGAACATCGGAATACACACCGTACAAGAGAATGTGTAATACTGCTAACACGACGACTGGTAGCGGTATTAAAAAACACGTGAGCTTACTCTTCTGTACAGTTGGAGTATTAATGACGTGCGCAATGTTTGTAAGAATCGTGAAAACGCTCGTAAAACAAAAGAACAAGAAGCCAATACTCCTAACTGACCCGATTTGAAGAACTACTAGATCTTTCGAGAACAAGGTTGTCAGTCTATCAGGGATGTGAATACTGTAGGGACCTATGAGCGTTTTATCATATAAGGAAGTCGAGTAGCGACCGGTAAGGACGAAGAGTACACAGCTCAACAGAATCCCTTCAGTTGGTGCACTAAAATAACCTAAATCAAGAGTACCGGTGCTATATTGTTCCCAAATTGATGCAAACAACGCCAGCGATGATAATAAAAAGTAGCTAAAAGTCATCCATGGAGGCATGTTGGCCATCAAAACAACGTTCATCTGTAAAGGGGGTATCAAAAAGGCATCACAACCATGATCGAAGAGCTCACCAAGAGGGCTTGATGTCCCTGTTCGACGTGCCTGCTTACCATCTATAGCATCCATCGTTTGATAAAAAAACACGCTAGCGGCTGCGTAGTACCACACCCACGAAGGATAGACCGCATTTTGGATATAGTAGTAGTATAACACCGGGATGGAACTTGACAACCCGACGATAAAGCCGATGAATGTGATCATATTTGAAGCGACTGTCATGGGAATTAGACCCACAACAAAGTTCCAATAGGACTGCATCAGATAACGGCTTACGATGGAGCGGTCGCAGCCCGAGTACTTGTGTTTTCTTAGGTTGCCCAAATACTCAGGTGGGATGTATTGATTCAAACACAACATAGAGCTCTTCTGAGGGTTGGCTACGGGGCATTTTCCTCCCTTTGCAGGACTGGATACCATACCTCCCACAAGTAAATAAATTTATTGTGCTATATCCGATTCTTTATTTTACTTCGGAACTATATTGATGATCTATTACTATCACCTTGAATGCTCTCTTAAAATTGCCTGAAGAAGCGTGGGAATAATATATTTGCTATGTTTAGAATAGCAAATTGTTCATGCAAGCCCCGTTAGCATCTCTACCCACCAATGTGTCATGAGGGATAACATTCCTGTGTAGTATTATCATATGTGGATGGGTATAACTCCATCTAAAAAGGATTGACTACACTGAAATTTTACAGGCGTCACTATTAATATGAATAAAAGGGAAAAATGATAAACTATTGGTAATGCAGCAACCAAAGGAATAAAGATAGTGGAAGGGTGAAAGTGTCTTTTGCTTCGAAGTAATGTAATTGTAAACTTACAAAATTTATGAATGAGTAGGTAGGTATAGATGTAGATAGTTCTACAAATTTATTTACCGTTTTCGGTAAAAAAAACACCCTAGACGAGGCTAGAAATATGACCAAAAACAAAAGACGAACAACAACTTGGAATAATGCTATCCAATAACTACAATATGAATACTTAATAAAAGAATGCAAAACATAATTAACTTACCCTAATACTCTTCTCCTATATATAAAAAAAATAAGACAATGTTTGTAAAAAGCAAGTACAAGCGTCCCAAAATAGATTTACATAAAGTAAGCAACTTTCGAAAAGAAGAAAGGTAAGATTAAAAAACAAAAGTTAATTAGAGATCATGTATTGTCCTTAATCTTTAAACTATTAGCTTAGTCGCATCCTCGACGATGGCTACGTGATCGACAGGGGCTTCCGGGTCCAAGAGCTGCTCGAGACTGCAGATATGCGGGATCCCCACCACGGTGAGGGTCTCAAGGTTCATCCACTTACTAAACGGCCGCACACAGAGTAGCGAACAGTCCACGGACCCGGAGGCCTCCGCTGAGGACAGTTCCGTCAGGTTATCCGAGACGAAGACGAGGCGGAGCTCCCCAGTATAGCCCTCCCGCGCCATCCATCCGTTGAGGTGGCGACGTAGCTTCGTGTAGCTCCGCGGGCTAAGCTTCCCTCCTACGGTCGCGGTATCAGCATAGTCGACGACGTGCGCGCTGAGATCGCCGTATTGGGTGTGGCGAAGAAAAGCCCGCTGCGCCCCCGCGCTGCTCGCACTGAAGACGACGACGCCAGCAGGGGGCTGAGAGGGGGAAGGGGAAGGGGGAAACGCGCGAAGAAAAGATGCGACGTCTGCAAAGACGCGAGTGGGGCTTGCCGCGGCCCCTCCCACCCTTGCGTTGAGCGCGTCTACCCAGAGATCCCCCATAAGATGTTTTACACACGACACACAGAGCCCTTTCTGGACCTCACGTCGGATGAGCTCGGCAAAGCAACGCCGCACCAGCTCCGTTTTCTCTCCCTCAACGAACCCACCCTTGATATCCTCTTCCATAGAATGTTTCAGCTCTTCGGAAAGGGAAAACGCGCCTTTCATCAAATTAAGTAGTTTCTCATCATTGGGATAATGCGTTTCCATATATTTGGGGAGGTGCTCTACGGCTTGTGGGACTATAACGTCTTGATAATACGACAGCGGAGTTATAGTCCCTTCAAGACTCAAGATAAAAATGATCATGCCGCTTTCTTGTCTATTAGATTTCACGGAGGGGGGCAAAAACACACCTCTACCCTCCAACCAGCTAGAAAGACATCGTGTCGCATGATTTTTATTATTCAGTCTTTCTTTCAGTAAGATTGGATTGCACTCAGACTGCAGGGTTTTTAGAGCCTTTGACATAGCCATATCCCTCCCTGTTAAGAAGGCAAAATATGCCTGTGTATCGAAAGCATTTTCAGCATAAAAATACATAGTATATAGTTCCTTCGTATATACTGTGTAAATAGTATGTCACTATGAAAAAATATGATTAAAACTAAGCCTTGAAATGTATATACGAGGAGAACGAAAAGTAATTATTTTGAGAAGCATCACTTCCCAGCGATCGTTTTGGAGGGGGAAAAAAGAAAAAAACATACAATATAAATGAAATCTTGTCGCAGAAAATATGCCAAAACACACACTGAGTATGCTAACGAAGGAAAATATCAGTCCTACATTCGGACGCTTAGTGAGAATTTAAAAAAAAAAGGAAATCGAAAGGTTGTTATTGTCGTTCTAGAGGAGGAAGGGACTTATAAAATTACTCCGTAAATCTTACAGTTAGTCTCTTCTTAAAGCAAAGAGAACTAAGCTAAATCTGGGAAAATAACAAAAAAAAACAAGACCCTCAGTGATCTATTGCAAAATGAAAGTTGAACGAGGAATAACTCAACATAAATCCCATTTTCTAGTGCTTTGGATCTATGTTATTCGTTAACTTTTTCCAAGCTCTATTTTCAAGAGTACCCTCAAGAACCCTTTTCCTAACTATATCACAGCCAAAACTAAATATATATATATATATATATATATATGATCTAATAAAATTTCAAGGATTGATTACAAACGCAACAAATTGCATTGCTAGGCCAAGTCTCACAAAAAAAAAAAAAAATTTTTTTTTTGCTCGCTTTCCTTCACACGCACACACACACGTAAAGTAGCAGCGATGTCAAGAATGAAAAATACGCTTTATCCTATCGTCTGTTTCTCCCCATTTCTGTGTTTCACTTCGATACAATAAATTATGCTGTATTAAGTGACACAGAAAGCAAAGGCTCTATAAAAAGGTCATATCTGAACGTCCTTCCTGCAGGACTGAGAATCTATTAAGATGTTATGTCATAAAAAGCGGTGTAAAGTCAACCAACTGTAACAATAAACAAAAACACTATTAATAAGGAAAACGTCACATAAATCTGTAACAGCATGCACTAACAAGATTTTCTATTGTTCTACGGGGGGTCTAAATGATGAAACACTACACAATTCTAATAACAAGTGTATTTCATGGGTCAATAATTCTAGACTGAACAACGTGCAGACTTTCGGTTGGTTACTTCTTGGTCGAGCTTTTTACGGAGGGCTTCTGGGTGGGCTTAGCTTTCTTGATTCGATGCACAGCTGTTTTAACTTTTGGAGCCTCGATGACGACCTTATCGAGACCCTTGGCTTTCATTTCCTTAATCGTCTCTTTAATTATGGCTTCATCTAGACCCAGGCCCTTCAGCTCCTTAGCCAAATCTACAGGCTTCTGAAGTTCGTAAAGCTGTGAAAGGGCAGAGAAACGTTGTCTGTAATTGAGGCCCTTGACCTTGCTGTAGTTTGCCTTCACAAATGTCGAAAAATCACTCTTGAACGTCTTCCGGCGTGGTGGCTTCGGGTTATCCTTCTTCCTCAAACTAGGATGGATTTCCGCACGCTTTTGGAGTTCTCGGAGTTGCTTTTGTGGGAGTTCTTTGTACATCTTCGACAATATGCGTGCACGCTTTGAAATCGAAACGCCCTTCAAAGCCGGATTGTTCTTCTGGTCCATTAAGAAGATGGAGAATGGACTAACTCCGCGCAGCACCTTGCATACACAAAGCATTTTTCCTGATTTACCTGAAGCGAATATTACGATGTATGTATATAGGAAAACCTACGGTAGCAATGGTTTGAATAACTAGATTTGTATTTCCCAAATCTCCTTCCTTCTTATGGTGGTTATTATTTCGTGTGGAAAACGTATATGGGATGTGTGAAGGTAAGGCTAAGATCCCACATTTTAAAAGGACATTGCTACAGACTTTTACGATTCCTAAAATGCTGAGAAGTCGCATAAGCATTTAGATTATATATATATATATATATATATATATATATATATATAGTGTAGT